TTAAATAAAACCCATTATAAGGGGCCTATACGAAGACAGGTCCCTGCATATGCAATTTATTGTCATAGGTTTCAAATACGAAATTCTATTTGGAACGAATTTGGACATTTTCAAAAATCCTTAAAAAATTCTGTTAAATCTTAAAAATACCGAATATAGCCGTAATATTGGGGTCTATACTGTGTATTTGGAGGTATTGTAATATGGAGGCTATACGAAGTCGTGGACCTGCATACGCAATTTTTTTGTCAAAGGCTGTAGTACCCATTACGAATATCAATTACGAAATTTGAAATAATTCCGGTTAATAAAGTCGTTGAAATCATCAAAATACCGTATATCGGAAGGTATCCTTATATGGGGACTATACGAATGCGAGAACCATTAAACGCTATATTATATATTAAGAACTTTAAATGCGAAATTTGAAACAATTCCGAACCATAATGTCACTAATACCATAAAAAGACCGAATATCGGAAGGTATCGCTATATGGGTGCTATACGAAGACGTGGACCTGCATACATAATTTATTGTTATTAGCTGTAATACCCATACCGAACTTTAAACACGAAATTTTGAAATAATTTCGAACTATAATGTCTCTAAAATCATCAAAATACCGAATATCAGAGAGTATAGTTATATGGAGGACGCGGACCTGCATACGCGATTTTTTTTTTATAGGCTGTAGTACCCATTACGAACATCAACTACGAAATTTGTATCAATTCTAATGAATAGTTCCGCTAAAATCAACAAAATTCCAAAATAAGGGAGGTACCGTTATATGTGGGGTATACCAAGACGTGGACCTGCATAGGCAATGTCCTGCCATGGGCTGTGCTAACCATTACGAACTTTAAATACGAAATTTGAAACAATTCCGAACTATAATGTCTCTAAAAACATAGAATTACCGAATATAAGGAGGTATCGTTTTATGTGGGGTATAAGAAAACGTGGACCTGCATAGACAATTTTCTGTCATAGGATAACTTAACCTGCCTACTGGCAAAATACACATGTGTGCAACATTTTAGCCTTCTATCTCAATTCGTTCCAAAAATTGCGTGATTACAACGGACACACAGACTAACGGACAAAGCTAACTCGATTTTGAATTTTTGGTCGATCAAGTTGGGTTGTTGTTGGGTCTGACATGAGTATTTTAAGGAGTTACAAACGGAATGACAAAGTTAATATAGCCTCCAATTTCGACATTCAAAATACTTCCGTTTTTTTACTTTTCCTGTCAGAACTACCCAACAACTTCTCTCTCAGAGGTCAAGTCTTACTGTGTTTTGTAAAAACAAAAACTAAAAATTAAAAAAATAGACAGCATTCCCGTTACATTCTGCTAGCAATCAGCTGATTTTTCAAAACAAATCAAATTTTCTGCAATTAAAAAGAACAATGAACTCACAAATTGTGCATTTCAATTAAGAGAACAAAAAATCTTTTTTCAAAATCACCATTTCTTCAAATTGCTTACATAACAAAAATTACTTGGATATTACAAAACAGCTGTTTGATTGTCGCAGGAGGAAGAATTGCAAGTGATTGCAACCAGAAATAATGGAACAAAAATAATAGTTTCCCGGAATCAGGGTAAAAACACCTACTAGTGGAAAAAACTTAAGAGTTTTTACGGAATAGTTAAGCCGAAATAATTTTCTAAATGCATTGATATTTTTAAGAAAGGCCTTTTAATAATATTCCAAATTAAGAGTATTTTATAGTTCGTATATTGTACCTACATATTTGAATTATTTCATAGAAAAATACGTTAACTCTTTACAGCGACTTCTGAATATGTGAAGTTAATCAAATGAAGAAACATTAATGTCATCCAAGTATCTGAAAATATTATTTAAACCTTTTTCTATTATATTATAAATATCTCGCCTATAAGAAATCATTTGTTTGTTGTAAATTTTACATTCCTAAACCTTTCACGAGACATTGTTAATTTTTGTCATATGTCTACCTTAAGATGTTGGCCGTTTTTACATCACTACAATATTTTACTATAATTTTAGTTCTTGCAGTCGAGTCCACAACCTTTATATGACTAAATATCCGAAGACAAAAACCGAATATAGGTCCTCATCGAATGTAACATCAACTTCAATTAGCGATGAATTTTATAGCAAATAATTTATATCAAATAAATGTAATTGGATTGGAACATTTGCCACTGGAGCCTGGACACCACTTGGTTTGATTGCGTTTTATTAGAAGTTATCTTGCAACTTTTTAGTGTGAAAACATAATAAAAAATAGCCTTGTTATTATTGCTAAGCGCTCATTTTTTACAATTACACACGAACCAATGTACACCAATAATTTGCTATGCTGCTTTTGGTCCTAAACAAGAGGAATAGTAATAATTCTCACTTACATTTAAAGAAAGCTGTGACATTTCACAGCAATCATTACAGGGAAGGACTTCCATGACATACCTTGTAGACATTCCAATTTGTGTAATAGTTCTACATCTTTACTTCTTTTTATTGACATTTTTGGAGGCCACATTATTCAATAAAACAAAATATATTTCAATTAACTGAACGAACTTTTTGTCTTAAAAAATGGCTTCGAAAACAAAAGTAACATTCTAAGGTGAATTGATATCACAAAGATGCTTTCTTTGGGAGTTATGCATCTTCATACCTGTGTTGCATTCACATTCATTGATAACAACATATATATTTAAGAGAATAAAAAAATTGATTTATTTCAAACTTATGTAGTAATTTCTCTTATATTTGGAGAATAAATCGTCAAAAGAAAGTATAGAAAATTGATTTATATCGGAATTTAAAGAAGTTTGTATGCTGGTCCTCTACAGAAGAAAGTGACACTCTAAGTGAATTGATAACAAGAAAGGTAAAACGGTTTGTTGAAATGATATCCAAAACTATATATTTCTACATTGGCTCCATGGTAGAAGATAGAGATAGTCGCATGGTAGAGGAATATAGGTAGATGCTTCGACACAGCTGCTGGGACAATGTCAAACCAATTTTGGAATCAAAATTTTTGAATGAAAAATTACTCGAATTTGTAAAAATTGTTAAAAAAAAATGCATATTAAAACAACCTCCGATTGGCGACGTGTAGGAAAACATATATAAATATACTTATTTTTGAAGAAATATATAAGAAAAATTGACATATCAATGTTCCGAAGCGTTGATGCATTTTCCTGTAGTCTTCTACCATTGTTGGCACCTTCAAAAAAGCGACACCTCTAGGAAATGCATGTATTAATGATCGAAATAGCAATATTTTTCTTTGTGTCGTAAATGTTCTGACAATTGTAAAGAGCTGCTGGACAATGAACTGTCAAACAGATTTTTGAGTCGAAAATGTTGAATAAAAAATTATTGAAATTTGTAAAAAAAATTTTGAAAGATTCATATCATAACAACATTTGATTTCCGTCGCATTATAAAGGTACGGTCACACTGGGCAAATATTTGATCGAAATTTGTTTTCCCATATTTGACTGAACAAATGTGAAATTCATACAGAGTTGATTCGATGTTCACATTACAGTCAAATATTTAACAGATTTTGTTTGTTCAAGCAGTCACCAAACAGCGTCAAACAGTGCTATGGGAAAACATGTTTGACACATGTTCACATTCGTAAAATATATTTTCCCATTAAATTGTTTGATCAAACTTTGAGGAAACATAAGTTTCTTTGGCCGAGAGAAATAGACAGAGAGAGTGAAAGAGAGACATAAAGAAAATGTAGTTTCGGGTATAATTTATTTGGAGAAGGGAAGCAAAAGACCAGCTGCTGTGGAATAAATTCCTTGTTAGAACAATTTTATTTTGCATTTTTGTTTGTATCATGGTAGAAGAATACAGGTAGTTACATCGACATAGCTGCTGGGACAATGAACTGTCAAAACAATTTTGGAATTGAAAATAATGAATGAAATATTATTGAAATTTGTAAAAATTGTTGAAAAATATATATCATTGCAACCTCCGATTTTTCGCCGTATAGGAAAACATAGAAAAATCTACTTATTTTTGTCAAAACATTTCAAAAATTATGACATATCATTGTTTCAATCGTTGATGCATCTACCTATATCCTGTTCCAGAACCTGCAAGAATCTACTAGTTTCACAATTTTCTTCGATATAATAAAGGGAAAATCGGTTATCGTAGTAAAAACACTTACATTCTGGCAGTTCTGGAACAGACCAAATATACACATTTTTTACTAAACATTCAAATTCAGTTAGTTCAAAAATATCAAATAAACAAAACCACTATTCATTAAACATCATGCTACAAATGCTCCTGTTGTTAAAGCAAAATGCTGCCCAATGTTTTAAACTGATATTTTTTCTTCTTTGATCTTACAAAACATTTGCACCGTCAAATAAATCTTTGACCAAAAAATAGGAAAATAATTGATCATATATGTTCACATTATGGACACATTGGTCAAATTTTTGTTTTCCGACAAATAATTTTGTTTTCCCAAAATCAGCTGTTTTCGTATTTACCATCAAATAATATTTGATGGTCAGATTGTGACAAAGAAACATTTCGCATTTTTCGTCAAATATTTTCCCAATGTGACCTTACCTTAAAACATATAAAAATCTACTTATTTTTGACGCAACATTTTAAAAATGTTGACATACAATGTTCCCAACTGTTGATTCATCTACCTACAGGTAACCAGGTCGAACAACCAAGAGTCGAACAAAAAATGGATGTGCAATTTGAAGCTTTTAAGAGCGATGACCTTTTATTGTATGGATTTTGTGTGGAATTAAAATTATTATGTTATTATTAAGGGCAAATCTGAGATTATAGCATTTCCTTACTTGTTCGTTTAATAGATTTGTAAATTTCTGCCAGGTTTTAATACAAAAACTCACAGCAAATCAATTGACTAATCTTTTGTAAACGAATTGTAAGAAAGCTCCAAGTGAATTGATAGCACAAAACATGCACCCATAATCAGCACAGCAACTCATATCAGCTGTTTCTCTTGACACAATTGACAGCTGAGAAAAAACATATTTAGTTTTTCGGGTTTTTAAAAACCGACAGACGAGATATAAACTAAAAATTTGGTGTATTTTCTGATAAATTTCCTCTTCAGTTGGTGAAGAAATGTAAAACAATTGCAAATTAAACTATAATTAAACAACTACTAAACAATATTTTTGTGTTTATTAATTTTAGAAAACAAGCAAAATGCCCGAAGCTCGCAGTCCTATGGCAGCTTTTGCTGATGCCTTGTATAATGTAATTGATGGTCCAGTTACATGGTTCAAAGGTATGTCAATTATCTGCTGGCATTGCCCAATCAAGATTAATCGAGTGGCCGTAATATATTGGACAATTTATGGAAAATTGGACAAGTTTCGGAGGATTCCATTACATAATGACATAACCTCAATTGGCCAGCAGAGGCAGTTGTCAATTTGACTGCCTATTGTTGTTATTATGATTTGTTTACATTCTTGAAGCAACTAAGTGCTGATGTTAATGTTTCCATTTTCTTGTCTTGCAGAGAGCATTGTTGAACCCAATCAAAAGAAATATGCCTGGTATCATCAACAATACCGCCGTGTACCCACCATCGATCAGTGCTATACCGATGATGTTGTCTGCCGTTTCGAGGCTGATCAACAATTCCGTCGTGATCGCATGGTTGACAACGATATTGTACAAATTTTGCGTCAACGTTTCGAGGACTGCACCTTGTATGAGGCTCCCGACCACTTGGAAAAATGCAAACCCGTTTTGGAGCAATACGAAAAGGCTGCCGAAAATTGGTTCATTAAATGTGAGTTTTTTTTTTTTTGGAATACAAATTAATTGGAATTTGAAAGTATTTGGAATTGTGTAAATGTTTTCCGTTTCCTTTAGATGGTGATTTGGGTGCCTACACCAATGCCAAAGCTGCCTACATGAAACAAAAACATCGCATGATCTGGGAACGTCGCCATGGCCCCATTGGCAGTGGCACCAAAAAAGTCAGTGAAGAGGAACAAGAACATTGAGAGCTGCCAGTTCGAACCATTTCACAGTGTACTCCCAAAAACACTTTTAGCTAAATTATTTCCTCTAACTTTCCACAATAGCTAAGAAGAAATCAAACAGAAAATATAACCATATACTGCTCCATGGAAATCTTCAATGTTTAACATTTTCGTAAAAGGGTGTGTTTTTTTCTATGGAAAATATCACAAAATCAGTAAAAAAAAACCGCAATTATTGTTATTAGGATAACATAAACAATTGAATAAAAAGAAATTAAATTGTAAAATTAAGACACGAAACGGAGGTGGTTCTTAAGGAGCAACATCGTTTTAGGAGGCGTATAGGATGTCAATAACTTATGGAGTCAAAAAGGTCATGAATACAAATGATCTTCTTTGGCCTTCTATGTTAAAGAAGATTATATGATATTATATGGCATAGAACATTATATGGTACAGAAAACCTAGAAGACCGAAGGAACATCAAGTTGTTTACAAAAATAATATGGTCTTCCAGTGTAAAGGCCAGATGATCTACTCTTCAGAACATCAGTCTTCCATTGCATACAAGTCGAAGCTATTATTCCGTAGTAAAAAATAACAAATGACAGCTCATTTTAAAATACAATTGATGAGTTTTATTAAAATAATATTACAATCATAATTTAAATTTATAAATGTTCTTTAAAGCAGTCTTAGAGAAAAAATTGCAAAATTTATTGCTAGTTAAAAGTTTTAAATTAAATTAAATTTTCATGAACTTATACTACAAATGTGAAAAAAGGAATTACAAAGAAAAAGTAAATCAAATGGTATATTCTACGATGAACACGATGGCAAAAAGACGTGTGTGAAAATTAAAAAAAAATCTGAGAATGTCAATGATTCCTCCAAAGGAAAAACCTTGCCTATTTGTTCTTTAGTAGTTTGGCTTAAACTAATACAAAATTGTTGCTAAAATTGTCATATTCCGAGTGATAAATATCTTTTATAAAAAAAAATTGTTACTAAACATTACTACGATAAAAGCTTCTAAGGCGATGTATTGTTAGCTTTCATTCAATTAGATTCCCTGAATCCTGTTGTCTATTATTAACTAATGGAGACCAAAGGTTTACTCAGAAGACTCTTCTTAATTTTAGCCAGAGCACTGCTGGCCGCATCACCATTTTTCTTCTTTTCCTCTTTGTTTTTAGCACCCAGCGGTATCATAGTGGTGTCGTGCAGACGTCGACGGAATAGCTTATAATACTGTAAAACTTGTGGATTGGCCCAAACCTGTTTGGGATCAAAATCTAAAATTCGTACCGAATCCAATGACTTGGCACGGGACAAGGCAACATATGCCTGGCCAGCTTCGAATACTTTGGACAATGACATTTCAACGCAATCCAATGTCAGGCCTTGGGACTTGTGTATGGAGAAGGCCCATGCCAATTTTAAGGGTACTTGGCGCCTGGTCACTGTGCCACCATTAGGTGTTTTTATGATCCATTTTTCATGTTTACACGAATACTCCGTATTATTTTTAAATCTCACCACCGGTACGCCTTTTTCAAAACGTACCACCACGCCTCGAGCACCATTCACCAGTCCTGCAGATATGTTTATGTTCTTCAATAACATCACCTGGGCATCAACCTTCAAAAACAGCTGGGATGGAGCTTGAACTTGGGTGTCCAGTTGTTTGGTCATTGCTGGATCAGAATCTTCAGCTCTGAAAAGAACTTTATCGGTGGGTAAATTTTCCAATTTGGATTCATTTATTGAATTGGCATCATTGGTGTGGGAACACAATTGGGTAGCCAAGATGCCATTACCCTCAATTTTTTGTTTAGAAGTTGTCTTGAGACGTTTGGTAATCTCTTCATTGATATGACCAATGCGCAGGTGATTTAGGATATTAACAAACTCTGGATCGGATTGACGATGCACCTCTTTAAGTTCATAAACATATTCAACACATTTCTCCCAGGCACTCGATTGAAAGCAAAAACGTTGTGGTGGTGTTTGTGAAGAGCTTTCTTCACGTTTTATCACAGGTGGTAACTGCAAGAAGTCGCCACAGAGTATCAACTGGATGCCACCGAATGGGCGATCATTGCGCCGGATGTGTCGGGCAACAGCTTCTATTTTCTGTAATCAAATTTTATAGAAAAAGTATTTGAATATTATTCCAAGGCAAACTTACATCAAAATATTGCCCATCCACCATGGAGATTTCATCAATAATCAAACGTTTACATTTCCTCCAGGCCTGGGCACTGGCAGGGCGAGAGGCCAATTCATAGCAACGTTGCAAGGTGGCATCTCCACCACCAATACCAGCAAAGGCATGCAATGTTACACCACCTGGAAAAAAAACAAAACAATTAACCGACATTCCCACACTCAATTTAATAATTTTAACTTACCAATTAGACAAGCTGCCACACCAGTGGAGGCTGTTGCCACAGTGCCATCTGGCGGCAATGCCGAAATAATTTTTCTCAACAAGAAACTTTTACCCGTACCAGCTGAACCCGTAAAGAATATACTCTTCCCCGAGATGCATGCCTTTAGCACATCGATTTGTTCTTGGCACAGTCTTAAACCCTCTTCCGTATCCATGGGAGATTCTTGATATAATTTCTTGGGAGCTGGCAGACCGCTTTTATCCCCACCACCCTTGATTTCATCGTATCGTCGCTTCTTAGCTGCCAATGGCGAGGGTGTTGTGGCCGAGCCCTTGGAAGGCAACAAACCTGCTTTCTTTCTTGCCAAAATCATTTCTGCTGTTGTCACCGGTGACACTTCTTCAAAAGTACTCGGCTTTCCCGACAGCATATGGGCCCGCAGCTGTTTCTGTGCCGTGGCATCATCGACATTCTCACCACCATTCATTTTTATAAATATCGTACGCAAGAAAAACATCAAGGTGCCCGGTGGAGCATTCGACAGATACATGGCACATTTTTCTGCCTTGAAATTCACCGAAGCCTTACCCTCGGACATGAACTTTTTGTGCACCATTATGTCTTTCAGTTTGAATTTCATTGGTTTCAGCTTTTCCGGAGTGCACTCGATGAAAAGTTCCCGTATATCGTTGCGTATCAGTCTTAACGTGGCCGTTCGATAGGCCAACTTGCGACCAACCGTTCCGGTGGCATTTGTCCATTGTAGATTTACGGCACAGGTGAGTACGGCATCGTTTAAATCCATTTTGGGTGAGTAGTTTTCTTTATTTATTTTTCGATTAAATAATTTTCTAAAATATCCAAAAGCTAATCCCAATTGTTACCCCCACTCCAAATGGACAAAAACGATGAACAAAATTCCACAAAAAATGCGCCTAAAACTACAACAAAGACAAAATGCCGCCCGCCGTTTCGTTTGAAAAATCGATTTATTGTGTAATCGATTACGATAGCTTTTAATTGTTTGTTAATTGACCAAAGACGGCAGGCCACACATCAAATCGAATGCATTCCGAGTTATTTGAAACTCGAAAACTGATTTGCAATTTTGCGAAAAAAAGCGAGAATTTGGTTAAAATATTTCTACATTTTGTTGAGAAATAAATCTTTAGAAAAATATAGAACATGATTTTGAAAAGAAAATATAACCATTCATAAATTTTTAAAGATTTTTTGTTTACTTATTTATTTAAAATCAATGCAACAGTTGTTTTGTTTATTTGACAACATATTTCATTTGTTGATAGTAACTCCGACATTACAATCCATATTGGACGTATTTCTATACCACCGCCAAATCTCAAATACAGATACCATTAGTGATCTAAATATCAAATTTCAGAATTGCATCCCTTTGCCTTAACCCAATAGCAAATACAGGGTGAGATAAAAGACTGCAACAAAGTCAAACCCCATATTTTTTAATTTTTTTAAATTTTATTGAATAAAAGTAAAAAAATGTCTGAAATAGCATTGACTTTTAGAATACGTTAAGATTTGTTCGAATTGGTCACCATTGGCACGAATTATGGCCTTCAAACGCCCAATGAAACGGTCACACGCTTCCCGAATGTTGCTCTGCGCTATTTTTATCCATTCCCGGCGAAGCGCTTGTTTGAGGTGATCAACATTTTGGTATTTTTTAGTGCCAAACTTGCTTCCCAAAATACTCCAGACACAATAGTCCAATGGATTGGTATCCGGAGATTTTTGTGGTCATAGGGCGCTGGAAATGAGTAACCATTTTTGGGTGGCGTGTGTTGGGTGCGATGGTGCTAAGTCCTGTTGGAATGTCTAAGGTCTGCGGCCAAAATGTTTGCGTGCCCAAGGCTTTAATACACCCTCCAGAATATTTTCGCAATAATATTCGGCGTTTATTCTGATGCCACGTTCGATTAATACGAGCGGAGAGTGACCATCCGCTGTTATGGCGGCCCACACCATCACCATGGCCGGCGCTCCCGCTTGAGTTCTGGTGACCAACCGAAGATGCACTTCCCGTATATATAGGCCCGTTCTTAAATCTTTTCTTTATAGTTCAGTTTTTTTCATTTTTCAGTTTTTCACATTATCGGACTTTGATCTTCATTTTAGTTTGAAAATCAAATAAACGAAACCAATATTGCAATTAATTTCGTGAAATAAATCTTCAATTCAGTTCTTCAATATAAAATAATAACGATATGCGTTGTCCAGTTTTTATATGAATACATTTTGCTGTTATTGCCATATTATCAATATAAAATATGGCAACATGAATTCCGTAAACTTTAAGTTTAGGAACATTAATATGCCAAAAGTTTTAGAATTTTTCAAAATTAAGTAGATTTCTATATGTTTTCTTATACGACGACAATCGGAGATTGTTATGGTATACATTTTTCAACAATTTTTACGAATTTGAATAACTTTTCATTCAAAATTTTCAATTTAAAATTTAGTCTGACATTACTTAAAGTTAAAAGATAAAGGGAAGATGGTCTGACTATTTGCTTATCGGGCAATTAATTTTTAATTAATACTTAAAATAACGAAAAACGATGTATTTGTCCGACAACATCACTTTGTATCTATCGAAAATGTGTAATAACCGGTTATAGATTAATTTAATAAATCAAACTTTCTTGTTTTCTGTATGTAAACTCAATGTCTAAACACTGTTTTAAAAAATACCAACGTCTTTATTTTCCATGAGTAAATGTATGTGAGTGATTTGGCAGCACTCACAATGTGACAGAATGTATTGGCATCACTGATTGGCCACGAAGAGAGCTTTATCAACACATATGAGAGAGGCAACACAACTCTCATCAGTGTTGGCATTTATCGGGGCAATGAAATTAATTGTATTTAATAAATTTAATAAAAAATTCAATAACAAACATTTGCAGAAGATTAATAGCTTCATAAAAACATAATTTTTATTGATTTTAATAAAAAATTTAAGTATATAATGTCTCTGTGTGGTCACATTTACATTTGGTACCACTCACCATCGAGAGAGTACTTTTCCCTCTCAACACTAATGCTCTCCCCAACAAAACATTTCGTTGGAGCAAGTGGCCAAATGTAGCTTTGCTAATATTTATATTAATGTCGTCGTCGTGATAAAAGCAACGTGCGGGAGTCGCAGCGCGTGTGTTTACAACAAAAAAAAATAAGAAAATAAGAAATATTCATACAGAAAAAAATAAAGAATAGAAAAAATATATAAGAAATAGTAAATATTAAAAGAGAGCAAAAAAATAAAGGAATATAAAAAAATGAAATAAGAATCTATACAAAATGAAATGATGTGAATTAGATACAACCGACAACAACAAAATCAAATTTTGTAATGTAAAATAAGAAGAAATAAAAAAATAATAATAATAGTGGATGGTGTGTGTGCATGTGTGCAAAGAATATAAGAATAATAACAAAACAAATAATAATAATAATAAAAATAAATAAATATTATTAAAAGAAATTTAAAGCCAGATGTTTGAGAGAGTGCGAAAAATTTAAAGGAAAAAATAAAACAAGAAAAATTAAAAAATATATATAAAAAAATATGGATGGGTAATTGAAAGGGTTGAGTTTTAATTTTTTTTTGTTAAGGAAAAAAATTAAGCCCCAAACAAGTGTAAAGCGGCGGCGGCGGTTTCAATAACACACAACGTAAGTCATTTATTCGGAAATCTAAAAGAAAACAAATCAAGTGCTTTTGCTGATAAGCAAACAGTTTTTGCAAAATATTGTGAACCAACTACAATAAATAAAATATTATTACCCACCAACATAAAAAAGTGGAGCAAAAGCGGAATGGTTTTATTTTGAAAAAAATGCATGCATACAAAGTATCTGTGAGATTGTTATGTGACAAAGAAGCAAAACGAAATAAAAACAAAATTTATTCATTGAGCAAAATCAACAATAAATATGAGTGCCAAAAAATCTCTGTGTGCTGGCTGTGGTGTGGGAGAGAATCAACGTCAGCTATGGGTTGAGAGCGTGAGAGAGAGAGAGTGAGGAAGTGTTAAAGGGGGAGACTGCTGCAATTTGCAATTTTGCGGCATTAAGCATCACTTTTTTGAATAGCAAAAATTTGCTTGGCCCCCTTTTACCATCCCCCCTTGTTTTCAAATACGTGTGTGTGTGCGCTTTTTTAAATTTAGCCGAAAAAAATAATAGCAGCAAATCTAAAATTCTTTGCGTTGGGAATTTTCGGTGTGTGTCGTCTCTGTAGTCTAGTAGTGACAAACAATTTTCTTCTTCTTCTATTACACTAGTACAACAACAACAATAGACGAAAAGAAAAACAACAATGTCGCATCTCTTAATGTTTTGTATATCGAAGTGAGTGTGTGTGTGTTCGTGCAATGGATGGGTTGGGATTTTTTTTATTCTGATTTACTTTGACATCCAACGACCGACGACGTCGGCCTTAGTTTAACCGAGAGAGAGAGAGACAGAGAGCGCGCAAAGAGGAAGAGCCAATGGGGCCTGTGGTGTCTCTTCTTTACAACATCGTTGTTGTCATCCATTGCCGTCGTTGTCATTTTTGTGTAATTATTTTGCGGTTGAGTCTCCCCAAATGACCGACCGACCGACCCGACCAAACGCCGTCCAGCCATTCTAGCCAGGCATTGAGTGAGAGTTTTAATATTAAAAGACAAAAAAAAAAAAAATAACACAACAAAACTGCCAGACATCCCCATCATCAGTGAATGTGAATAACAATGTCCGAGAGTGTACGTGTACGTGTGTGTGTGCGTGCCTGTGTTTGTTTGCCTACATACATGTGCTTGATTAACACAAAAAAAAATCTACTGGGCATACATATCTACTTGTTTGTCAATAGATTGTGTTGTGTGTTTGCTTATTTTTATACCTACCAGGCTATAACGATTTGACAATGGCTAGTTTATTTTATTCTAGCATATTTATACATATGTATGTCCATACGTCGATATGTATGTAGGAATGTTGGCCTGTCGTTGTTATTTGTGTGTACTGTGCTCTGTTGCTGGCCCAGGCTATTTTTTTTTTTTTGGTTTAAAGTGTCTCGCATTTCGTCTAGAGCTTTTCAAATAATCAATTGATGAGAAATGAGAGCAAACTAAATCGAAAAAAAAAAACAAGAATAAAAAGTTATGACGTTGATGATGGTTGTCAATAAAACAAACAACAAAACACATGTAAAGAAGAGAGCCAGCCCCCAACAAGAGCGCGCGTTTCACAAAGGGGGAGTAAAAACACGCGCCACAAAATAAACAACGAATGTATACAGCTGCAGTCGCAGGCCGTCGCAGCAGCAGCGACAGCGTTAACGGCAGCACCATCACTCTGAGCAGCATCATTAATAACAATAATAATCAATATTAATAGACAGACAAGTGTTGTTATTTCTTTAAAGAAAAAAAAAAAAAAAAAAAACATTGCGGGTCATAAATCTCTACATTTTTTTCAAAAGGGACTTTCTCGCTCTCTCAGCTCTCAGAGCATCCCCGAAACCCATTCGTGTGGGGTTTGCTTGTAAAGAACCCCTTTTCCAATTGGAATGATTTATCTCTGTGTGCTCATTCTAATTGTCTGCCAAAAATTCATCTCTCCCTCTCTCCCACACACAAAAGTGCCGTCGGTGTTGCCAATTATTCAGGGTCAATAAACGCTGTAATTGTGTTGTTTTTTTTCGTGTTTTTGAATGGGAGTTGAATGATATACAAAAGAAATATTGCATATTAATTGGAAAATGCTAATTGGTTGAATCAATTCAAAAGAAATTAAGATATTTATTATTCTAGAACGTTTTGTAAAAAAAAATTGTTTATCAAATCTGAACAGCAGTTCCCTTAAAAGATTAAATTACAAAATGAGTTTTATGGGCCCATTAGCGCGAGTCTTTTAAAGAACAAATTTTTGTTTTTGAAAACAGAATTGCTTTTTTGCATAGCTAAGCCTCACATTCACCGACCATGTTTTCGAAAAATCGTGTCATTTAAACTACCAATTGACCTATGAAAACATAATGGCTTTTTAGCGATGCTAAAGCTTATTATCTCCGAATATATTTTCATAACAAGCCGTAATTCGACTGCCAACTCCTATGATTATACGTCAGAAGAATTACAATTTTCCATAGAACGCCTTGTTTTGATTGTAATTTTAATAAATATTCTCGTTTACGTTTGTTTGCTTCCCTAGGTCGAAATCCTCAGTGGCACAATAAATGTATTTCGATTAGACTAAGAAAGCGTATTGAATTTGGGACTTCTGTTTGCTTATGGTAGGAACTGGGTTAACAATTATTTTGCTCGTGAACTTTAATCGAGGCATTCTCCCAACAGAAAATGGATATATCTGTTCATGTCAGATATTGGTTAATTCCGTAAGGCCGTTTTTATACCCTTGGCCATATGGTTAGAGAGGGTATATCTGATTTGATACGGCCAAAACGTGCCTCATCGAAATAACGGTTTAAGACCCTAGGTCTCTGTGGATATTTGGAGTCGATCTAGCGACTTCCGTCCGTCTGTCTGTCTCTCTGGTTGATGCTTACGATAACTCTCGAAGGGAGTATACGATTTGATCCAAACTTGGTATATCGTAATATTATTGTCAAACTTAGAGCGAGTTCGGAGATGGGCAATGTCGGAGCACTCCTTTCGGTACCTCCCCTACAAAAGGTAGAAATATTCAAAAAATATATTTTCTGCAAAGAAAGAGAAAGGATAATCCGATTTTGCTTTAACTTTGCAAATCCTAATATTTGTCTCTGTGCTATGTCTGGTGTGAAAATGGACAATATGGATCAACATTTTGAATAATTACAACTCTTATAAAATGTTATGTAAGAGTCCAATTGTCTTCAAAGTTCACACATCCCAATATTTTCATCAACACAAGGTCTGGTGTTAAGATGGAGTATATCGGTCCACTCCTTCTTGTACCTCCCCCACAAAATGTCAACATTTTAAAGGAAAATAATTGACTGCACAGAACGAGAGAGGATAATCCGATTTTGCTCCAACTTTTCAAATCCTAATATTTGCGTCAGTGCTAGGTCTGGTGCGAAAATGGACAATATGGGTCCACTCCATCAAGTACCTCCCCCGCAAAGGGTCAACATTTTGAATAATTACAACTCTTATAAAATGTTATGTAAGAGTCCAATTGTCTTCAAAGTTCACACATCCCAATATTTTCATCAACACAAGGTCTGGTGTTAAGATGGAGTATATCGGTCCACTCCTTCTTGTACCTCCCCCACAAAATGTCAACATTTTAAAGGAAAATAATTGACTGCACAGAACGAGAGAGGATAATCCGATTTTGCTCCAACTTTTCAAATCCTAATATTTGCGTCAGTGCTAGGTCTGGTGCGAAAATGGACAATATGGGTCCACTCCATCAAGTACCTCCCCCGCAAAGGGTCAACATTTTGAATAATTACAACTCTTATAAAATGTTATGTAAGAGTCCGATTGACTTCAAAGTTCACACATCCCAATATTTTCATCAACCCAAGGTCTGGTGTTAAGATGGAATATATCGGTCCACTCCTTCTTGTACCTCCCCCACAAAATGTCAACATTTTAAAGGAAAATAATTGACTGCACAGAAGAGAGAGGATAATCCGATTTTGCTCCAACTTTTCAAATCCAAATATTTGCATCAGTGCTAGGTCAGGTGCGAAAATGGACAATATCCGTCCATTCCATCAAGTACCTTCCCCACAAAGGGTCACAATTTTTGAATAATTACAACTCTCATAAAATGTGATGTAAGAGTCCGGATGTCTTCGAACTTCACACATCTTAATATTTTTATTAAACCGAGGTCTGGTGGAATATATCGGTCCTCTCCTTCGGATAACTTCCCCACAAAGGGCCAATATTTTCAATAACCAAAACGATAATAAAATCCGAAATAAACATCCGGTTCTCTACAAAATTCACACATGCAATTATTTTTACTAACACAAGATCTGCTGTGAAAATGGAATATATCGGCGCACTTCTTCCAGTACTCTTCCCACAAAGGGTTCAAAAATTAAAAAAATGTTCATAAAAAGCGGAGTAAGCATCTAACTCTTTTAAAATTTCTCACATCCAAAAATGTTTGCTTTGTGAAGATGATAGATTTTTGAGAACCCCTTCTGGTACCTCACCCAAAAAGGGTCCCGCGGGAATTATTGATCCTTGGCAAATAGTATTCTTGCAAAAGACTAAAATTGTTTGTCTTGATTCATTCATCCTTGTGGCCATGTAGTAAAGATACCAAAATAAGTTCATATATTTTCTAATTTTTAAGTTTTCTTTATGTTCCCAACATTTTTAGAGTATTTTTCTATTCTTTAGTAGTTTATTTATTGTGTTTTTTTTTATTTTGGCGGTTTAAAACATTTATCATGCCCTCTTCAGATCGTAAATAAAGTATTTTATTCAATTTTCCTTTATTTATCTTAATTTTCGCACTACAACTAGTAAATAATCAATTTTCCATTCAAAAAAACCCTCACCCAACACAGTAACAGCGATTTAATGATAACGATAAGTTAGCAACACTGAAACACAGCAGCCATCATAGACAGCAGCATACCGTTATTTTCATTTCGTTTGTTTGGCTACTCTCACACATTTTTTTATGTTGGTGAGAGACACACACACAATAATAATAACAACATATTCTAATGCATGACCACGAGAAAAAGAAGAAGCATCAGTTGGATGCATGTCAACGTCATCATCAATACAAAACAAATAATAACAACAAAGAAATTAATTGAAAATTGTATCTTTAACTGTTTTTCAGGTGCTCCATACGTAAAAACAGAAACAAAAACATAGAGAAGCTGTCTGTCACTGACAAATCTCCCACTTCCCATTTTTTGACTACAATGAAAACTGAAAGAGCGTCAGCGTATGACGCCTAAACTAAAGCAAGTGATGCTAGAAGAAATGCGAGACTTTTCAATAAAAATGCAGCAAAAATCAATAGCGTATGAAATCATGGATAAAGCCGATCTAAATATTAACAAAATGGATAGTGATATTTGATAAATAGACGAGTGTGTGTGGGTATGCAAGCAAAAGCAAATAAATATTGAGTGATTTGAAGGAATGCAATAAATGTAAAGTGAATTTCAATTGAAAAAAGGAAACAAATCTGAAAAAATTAAAAGAAATAAAAAAAATTGAAAACAAAGCAGGCAAATAATTTTAAATTCTAAACGAAAAAAAATAATAGAAAAAGCCAAGAAATGCAAGAAAATTGTGGAATTGGTGCTAAAAAAATTTAACGACAAAGAATTGTGAAATGCCGACGGGTCAGCAAACCAAGCAAATAAAGTGCCAAAATAAAAAATTAAAATAACAACAAAAATATTTTTTGTGAAAAAAATGAAATAAAATGTCAACAATTTTGAAAAAATAATTAAGTGAAAAAATTTAAAAAAAAATTACAAAAACAAAACAACACACATTTGGGGAAAATCTTAAGTTTTATTGAAAATCTTCAAAAATTTTTGAAGATAAAAAAATCTAAAAAACCTTTGAAAAACATCTCTCTCAAGACCTCATTTGATTTTCCCCAAAAACCAATTTTTGTGCGGCATTCACAACATGACCGAATACGTTACACCCAACATACACACAGTGTTGAAAAAATATCAAACAAGTGCTCCCAAAAGTCTACAAGGTCCTGGTCATTCATTAGCCAATATTGCGGCGACATCTGGCAACGCCCTACCCTTAACCTCAACAAATTCGGCAGTTCCCCCCATAACGGCAGCCCATGTTTCGAATTCTACGTCATCAGCGGCAGCAGTGAACGCACTTGGAGCTGGTGGCCATTGCCCCCTGGATGTTAGTCTAAATAATAATGGCGGTGTGGCCAATTTATCCACCTCAGCAGATATCCATGGATTGGTGGCAATGCGTACCAGTCCTTGTGATCTTGTCAAATCATCATCTTCGGCCAACAAACAGCAAACACTTGGAGGAGGAGCAGCGAACGTTATACCCACAAATGCCAATCCTGTCCTGCCTCTCATAAAGAAAGAAATAATGACATCACCGGAACCGACAACACCCTCAGCACATGATCTCCAAAATGACAACTCACTGGCAGGGCCACCATCACTACCCCAGCCACCGCCATGTGGTCCCCAGGCACCAACCATAAAGATAATGCCCCCACCACCACCAGAAGTCTCCCAACCCATACTCTCATCGGCCGACACCGGTTCGGGAGAGTTGTACGAAACACGCCTCGAGGGCAAGACCATTGGCTGCTTCTCCATGGGTGGTGAAATGCGCCTTTGCTTGCCACAATTCCTCAACAATGTCCTGGCCGAATTTACACTGGAACAAATCAATCGCAGCTTCGATGATCTGGGCATCTTCTGTTCCCAATGTACCCCGGAACAGTTGATGGAATTTAAGGCAGCCAAAATCTTACCTTCCGACGTCAAATCGAGTGGCCTCATAACTCGCACCGATGCCGAACGCCTGTGTGCCGTGCTATTGCATCGTTCCGATCGCAATAGCTATGTCAATGTGGAGGATATACCCAAGGGTGCTATCTCATTTAAGGTATATCATCGTTGCTTTGGCAAATGTGAGGGCATCTGCACGCCGGACATGTATTCGTATCAGAAACCCACATGCATTATGTGCCTCGAATGTAAGGGCTGGTTTTCACCGCAAAAATTCGTCGGCCATGTCCATCGCAAGGTGGAGAATCGTACCTGTCATTGGGGTTTTGATTCGCGCAATTGGCATGATTATCTACATGTCGCTTTGGATGTGGAGAATCGCGAAAAATATCAGAAAATCTTGGATGAACTGAAGGAGGTGGAGATCAAGGAACAGCAGAAAGCACAGCAGGAGATTAACTTTTTGAAAAGAAAGGTGAGTTTGGAGATTTGGAATTATTTTTAGAGGCATAAATATAACCTCATAGTATAATATCAGGGATTGGGATTTTAGAGGATGTTTTGGCTCTTTGATCTAAATTTCAATTGTCGTAATAATATTTTGAAGTTTCAGTTATTTGACTTGGGAAAAAAAATAGGGTAATTTCGATGATTATTTACATTGGGTGCTCTGATGCGTATAACTAATGTCAGTGCGTATACGACCCACGGCCATTGATTGAACGCTTGGCGTATAACTAATGACATTACTTATACGACCCTTGTCCTTCGTTTTCTTTCCTTTATTTTGACTTTGCCGGGGTCTGTAGATCATGACATGATGTGCAAATAACCTCATTTTGGTAGGAAGATTGCGCCGAAAATTGGGTATATTTTAATCAAACTTTTGTTTGGAAAGTTTGATTTTCTGCGAATACGCCGATGTTTTCTCTGAAGTCACATTATTTGTAGAGGAGAACATTTTGGCTATGCAACGATCTAGGTTTTATAAAAGAGTGTCGCATAATAGCGAAGATATGACCAAAAATATAAGTTGCTGAAATGACTGAAATTTTAGGTCGTTTTGGGTAATGGTGTTCTGGAGGTCATAACTTCTGAATTAAGTCAAATATCTTAATAAAATTCATCACAAACGAAAGAGAGGACGTTTAGCTTTACTTTTATGACAAATTATTTTCATTTTGATCGAAAATTTTCACCGAAAATTTGAGAAAAATGTTATGAAATTTATTTTCTTAGATGGCCCTTGGGGCTCAGAATTTTTTTATTTGAAGAGGTTGATTTGGTGTGCGAAAACAAAACTTTTTCCTTGGAGTGACAATATTTTGTTAGAAGGGCATCTTAGCTTTACAACGATGTAAGTTTTACAAATGTGGATCGCACAATAGCGGAGATATGACCAAATAGTGAAGTTGCTGAAAAGGCCGAAATTTTTGTCGTTTTGCGTAACCACTCTCTGGAGGTCATAACTTCTGAATTTAGCTACATATCTTCATGAAATTCATCAATATCGAAAGAGGACATATCTATCTTCACATGTTAATGAAATTATCCTCAACTGGTTCCAAAAATGTCGTCGAAAATTGGAGAAAATTCTCTCAGAATTTATCTGCTTTCGTGGTTCTTGGGACTTCCATATATTTTATTTGGAAAGGTTTTTTTTGGCCTGGGAAAGGTTGATTTTGTCTTTGAAGTCGCATGATATCAAGAGTACTTCATCGTAGCTTTACAACAATATAAGTTCCGTGAATGTAGGTCGCATAATAGCGGAGATATGACCAAAATGGGGAAGTTGCAGAAATTACCGAAATTTTTGGTCGTTTTGTGTAACCACCCTGCGAAGGTCATCGCTTCTGAATTAAGTTACAGATCTTCATAAAATACATCACGATCGGAAGAGAACACATTCATCTTTACGTTTTTGTGAAATTATTTTTATATTGAACGAAAAATTTGCCGAAAATTGGAGAAAAATATGTTGGAATTTATTTGCTTTTGTAGCTCGTGGGACTCACAATTTTTTTTCTTTGCAAAGGTTGATTTGGTCTGGGAAAAGATAATTTTTTCCTTGAAGTGACAATATTTTGTCAGAAGGATATCTTAGCTTTACAACGATGTAAGTTTTATAAATGTGGATCTCATAATATCGGAGATATGAAAAAAATGGGGAAGTTACTGAAATGGCCGAAATTTTAGGTCGTTTTGGGTAATTCCCTCTGGGGGCCATAACTTCTGAATTAAGCTACAGATCTTCATTAAACTCATCAAGACCGAAAGAGGACACATCTATCTTCACATATTTATTAAATTATTTTTAACTGGTTCCTAAAATGTCGTCGAAAATTAGAGAAAAATCTCTCAGAATTCTGGGGGCCATAACTTCTGAATTAAGCTACAGATCTTCATTAAACTCATCAAGACCGAAAGAGGACACATCTATCTTCACATATTTATTAAATTATTTTTAACTGGTTCCTAAAATGTCGTCGAAAATTAGAGAAAAATCTCTCAGAATTTATCTGCTTTCGTGGTTCTTGGGACTTCCATATATTTTATTTGAAAGGGTTCATTAGGCATCGGAACTGTTGATTTTGTCTTTGAAGTCTCCTTATTTAAAGAGAACTACATCGGAGCTTTACAACAATATAAGTTCCGTGAATGTAGGTCGCATAATAGCGGAGGTATGGACAAAATGGGAAGTTACTGAAATGATCGAAATTTTTGGTCGCTTTGCGTAACCACTCTCTGGAGGTCATAACTTCTGAATTGAGGTACAGATCTTCATAAAATACAACACGATTGGAAGAGAACACATTCATCTTTACGTTTTTGTGAAGTTATTTTCATTTTTACTAAAAAAATTTCCCGAAATTTGAAGAAAAATGTCTTGAAATGTATTAGCTTCTGGGGCTCTTGGGACTCAGAATTATTTAATTTGGAAAGGTTCATTTGGTGTGGAAAAGGTTGATTTTGTCATTGAAGTTACATTATTTTTGGAGAAGTGTATCCTATCTCTATAAAAATATATGTTTTATGAGTGTAGATATAAAAATAGCAGGAATATGATCACAAAAAGGGAGTTACTGAAATTGGCAAAATTTTTGGTCGATTTGAGTAACTTCTTTCTCGAGGCCATAACTTCTGAGTTAAGCTACGTATCGTAAAAAAATTCAAAGCGAACGAAAGAGAATGCGTTTACCTTTACATTGATGTAAATTTATTCTAATTTGGATCAACAATTTTAAAAAAAAAAATGCCAGAACTTTTAGTGATTTTTCGTATTTTCATAAGACCAAATTTGCATGGTTATGCCTTCACTCATGTGTTCATATATTTTTACCCAGACCGAATATTAAAATAAAAGTTGTTGCGTTTTAAAGGGAAGTTCTTGGACTTTAGAAAGGCGATTCCGCAATTTAAATTAAGATCCCAAAAATTAGATATGACCAAAATAACAAAGTTTCCAAAATTGGTACAATTTTTGGTCGTTTTGGGTATTTGCCTTCTAAAGGTCATAACTTTTGAATTAATCATTGCACCTTTATGAACTTCAACGCATTAGAAAGGGAACAAGTTTATCTTCATATTTAAATACAATTATCTTAATTTTAAGCGAAAATATTCTGAAACAATTAAAGAAATTGTGTTGACATAAAGCAATTTCATAAGGTCACTCATGTGAGATACTTCCACTCGTGTGATTTTATCCAGATCGAATATTAAAACGAAAATACCAACGATTTAAAGAGAATACCTTACTTTAAGAATATGAGTGTGTTTTTATAATTTATATATTTATATCCAAAAATATTAAATATGACAACAATGAGAAGAGCGTCAAATATCTGCCATATTTTTACTCGTTTTAGTTAACATCTTTTAGTAGGAGGATTTTGTGCAACTTAATGAAAATTGAAAGATCGGACGCTTATATTTACAGCAATTTTTAAAGTTGTAGATACACAAGATTTCCTATCTATACCCTTTATAAAACGTCCATATTGACATATTGTCACTTTGGCTCATGGTCTAAATTGGGATTTCATTTTTATACCTCGGTGCGTATGATTTATGTCGTTGCATATACGTCCCAGTTGTCGCTGTACTAATTACTCACCAAGTAATTCCTATTTAAAATTTTAAGAGATTATTTTGAGAAACTATGGGAGCCTACATTTATAATTGTAAAATAATGCGGTTGGAAGATCAACGGAGCTTGGATTTCGCAGTGTCTGAGTTTTAATTTTTTGGTAGCATTTGGTGCGTATGAGCAATGTCGCTACGTATACGTTATGGAGGCCATCAATTGCCAAAAATAGTATTTCTTGAGAGGTTTTCATTGATATAACCGTGGTTCTAAAAGAATATTTTTTTCGAAGACCAACAGAAATTTAATGGCGGATCTCGGAATGCCTGAGTTATAACTTTTGAGTTTCAAATATGGGATTTTTAGAAGCTTTATTTGGTTGCATTTAGTATCTCAGTGCGTATAACTAATGCCGCTACGTATACGTTGCGGAGGCTGGCGGTTTAATCACTCGCCAATTCCGTTCTATCTGATTTTGAAGAGTATCTTTGGAGGATCTTTAGGAGCTGTAACCATAAATTTTAAAAGAATATTTTTCGAAGACCACCAGAGTTGTAGTGGCACATTTCGGAAAACCTGAGTTATAATTCTAAGACAAAATTGTGAAAATTTTTCAATTTTTCAAATATTGACCCTGGAAAAATGCCTACTTTTTATAGGGACATTTATCTGGGGCTAAAGATTTGTTTTTTTGAAGGGCTTCCTCGCTTCAGAAAACCTTGAGATGTTTTAAAATTCTTTCAATGAATTTTGGGTCTCTACGGAAAATATTTAAGGGATGTCATCTCCATCTTCAAATGTTATCTCCTTCCCCTCATAAAATATTCTATAATAAATATTCTAAAAAAAAAACAACAACAACGACAACTAAACTGAAAGTGTTAAATAAGTTATGTCCAACAAACACAGATGCTAATTGTATTACAAATGAGAGAGCGAGAGAGAGGGGGGCGCTAACTGTCTGCAATTCGTTGTAGCGTCTGGTCGACGTAAAGATGTCAAGTCTTGACTACCTTTTTTTGTTGTTGTCATTTGTCTACAATTCAGTTAAGCTTTTTTTTCCACCTATTTTATATGATAGGCTTTATTGTTGTTATTGCCGCTGTAGTAGTTGTTGCTGTTGTCATTTGCTGCTAATAATGCCTTTACAACTGTCTGCGCCTTTTTTTCTTTAAAACTGCTACTGCGGACAAACAGATATTCGAGAAGATCAGACAGTAGCAAATTGAGAGAGAAAAAAAAAAACGAACTGACATTGCGGTTGAAATTCTCCACATTAGAGGCATGCCATCTCACCTCCCCCCCCTTTTCTGCATCCCTCCCCCATTCTTTTTGCAATTCATGGCTGTTTAATGGGTGCTGATGATAAATGTCTTTTTTATGAAAAA